AGAGAGAGAAAGAGAAAGACGAGATTGGACAAGAGAAAGAGAGAGTCCGATGAAGTTCGTAGGAGTATTGGTTGTGTTGGGATTTTTCTTGATTATTTTGGAGTAGTATTGGTTGTGTTGGAATTTTTCTTGATTGTCTTGGAGGAGTTTTACTTGTTTTGGAGATGGTGGTAACGGTGAGGGCAATATTGATATGTTGCCGGAGCATGATGATGCATACGAGCAGGGGGGCTATTAGATAAACTCGTAGCATAGCATACTTTTTACCGCGCATGCCGACGGCTTCTTCCGCTCCTGCTTGCCACAACCCCTCTTCTCGCCCCACTTGCCCCCTCCTCTCGGCATGATCACCAACCTTCCAGCAGCTTGGGCAGCACGAGTGACGGCGGCGACAAATCCCCTGCCCTGATGCCTTCATACCACGCTCCCCCCAAAGGCCAACCCTCATCCCTCCAACAGATTGCGCCACCCGAAAGAACCGAACGGACGGGTTGCATCTCTCAAACGACCGCTCGAACGCAGCTCGTCCCCAAGCGTTTGTTCCTGTTTACATCATGAAGACGATGTTTGTTTGATATGGAAACAGAACCATCTCCGCATGGACGGCCATAGCCAAGCAAAGGAACCATCGAAAAAAAAAAGCTCTGTCAACAAACGGTTGATCCTCAGAGGACTCACCGTGGCTCTATCTGTGGGAATGCCGTAATGAGATTTCTACCACACGGCACGAAACACGGCAGGGGGAAAAAATGAGGCTTGGAAGTTGCAGTTGCACTTCCGATGAGGTAGCGAACTCGATCGGGCCCGTGGAATATGATTGATTGATGTGCAACCCTCAGCGTGGAAACGAGAAATCTGGACGAGCGCATCTCTACAGGTGCTACCATCCTTCCTGTCTGCACATACACCGGTCGCCCCGGTTGTCTAGTGGGTAGCCTCGCAGCCTGCTAAGGGCCAGGTCATGAGTTCGAGTCCCGGCAGAGAGAGCTTTTTTCTCACTAAATAAATCCTGGTCTAGGTTGAAGGCGACGCGCTGCAAAGCTCGTTGTTAGTAAACCATCATCGACTTCGTCAGTCGCGAGGGAAGGGGTTGCTGTACCCTTCTCGCGATAAAAATACCTCAGGCATGGACCGCAGGAGGGGGTTCAACCCCCCCCTCCTATGTGACCCCGGTTGGGTCGTCTAGCTAGTAGAAGTGGAGGATAGGGGCCAGAGGGGCAGACTACACAGTCCAATGATGGGAGGAAAAAAAAAAAGGAATACAGCAGTAGTGTTCACATCCAGGCCTACTGGGAAGTACATGCAAACACGCACGCACAAACAATTCTCGAAGTGAAAATGTAAGTGTTTCACCCTTGACATCGTCGGTACCTCGGAGGCAAACCTACTGCACTAGGGGATGCCATCCTTGCCCTTGCCAACGGCGTGTGGTACACCGCTATTATTCCGTCGTTGCCCTGGTTTCAACGCTGAATCCCCTCTGAATCGATAAATAAACCGTTCAGAGTATACGGTGGACAGACGCGGTTCAGACCGCCAACGAAAGAGGCGATGTGGGATGCATGACCTCGGACGCGTACTACACTAGGGGATGCCATCCTTGCTCTTGCCAACGGCGTGTGGTACACCGCTATTGATCCGTCGTTGCCCTGGTCTCACCGTTCAATCCCCTCGTAATCGATAATAAACCGTTCAGAGAAGACAGACGCGGTTCAGACCGCCAACGAAAGAGGCGATGCGGGATGCATGACCTCGGACGCGTAATACACTAGGGGGTGCCATCCATGCTCTTGCCAACGGCGTTTAGTACACCGCTATTGTTCCGTCGTTACCCTGATCTCACCGCTGAACCCCCTCTGAATCGATAAATAAAGCTCGCATTGTGCGGGCGTCAAGACGCCGAAAACGGGCGAACAAGATCGACGACCTCGGACCAGTCAACGCCAATGATATGGGGATGGAGTATAGACGCATCGTAGAACGCGTTTTCGATTGAAGTTGGCGTCTTGTTTGAGAGTAGATATGACAGTTTTGCGTAGAAAAGGGTAAGATGTCATCATGAACGGAGATGAAAGGGCTTTTCCAACACGGAGATGTAGCATGGATCAAAGCATTTGTTGGATTTCAGCTTTTACAAGAGGACACCAACGCAGTAGTATTTTAGCAAGCTTACGAACGCATATAGGATACCATCAGGATTGTTATTGGTTTTATTTCAAGTTGAAGAGGAGATATTTTTACGATGTAAATGACAGTAGAAATAAGTCCTACATATGTTGTTGTACTTCTCCCTTCTTCCCCTCGCTCCTCGACAAGCTTTTGCTTAGACATGGGTTGTAGTGAAGGGGGGGGTCTTTCTGGCGAGCAGGGCTAGATTCACCCTCAAGGGATGACCGAAACCTTCTTGCTGCTGCGCATATCCGCCGCGAGGCATGCGCGTGGTGGTGTAGTTGGGTCGGCACTGATGGGGTCAGGCGAAAAAATGTAGATGCGCGGGCCTCTGGCCGTCGGCGTAGGCAG